TAAAAAAAAAATAAAAACCCTGAAAGAAAAAAAGCAGTGCAAAACAGGCCAAAGTGCTGTGCCAGGACAAATGTGGAGAAAGGGGAGCAGGCAACTCTGGGCTACCTGCTCCCCTGTCTCCATTTACTGTGGAGCCCCCACACTGAAGCACCCTGCACCCCGGCCATCTGCTTTCCAGCTGGCTGGGGTGCAGCATGCCTTGGGACAGGAGTAGGCAGTCCTGGACTGGCTGCGTACCTCAGCACAGGGGCTGTGCTATGGAGCCTCTGCTCCAAGGTATGTGGAGTCCCCATCTGAAGGCACACTGCACCTCAACCAGTAAGGGAGTTGGCCTGCTCCCCTGGCTCCAAGTGCCACACCCCATCAGGCTCAGGGTGCCTCAGCATGGGTACAGGGTGCCTCAGTGCGGGAGCTGCCTGCCAACTAGCCCTGCACTTTGAGGCACCATATGCCCCACCTAGCCCACCCAGCAGCACACAGAGCAGTGAGACAATGTGTCCCGCTGCAAAGTGTGTGGGCAGGGGTGTGCACTGTAGTACAAAGTAGCAGCACAGATTTGCACCACTACTATTTGTGCTGCTGCAGATGCACACCCCTGCTTACGTGGATACAACCTAAGTGGCTTAGAACAGAAAGAGCTCAATCTGAGCTGGAGTAAACTAATTCTGATATCACCATTTACATGTGATGGGCTAGCTGGTAGTGTATTAGCCCAGGGGTTTTGAAAGGGCAAAAGATGATTGGAGGACTTGGGATTCCCTTTCCTCACCAATCAGGCCCCAGAGACTCACCCTCCATGTCCCCTGATTGGCCCCTTGGGTCACCTGGAGGGGGATAAAAGGGGCAGTGCAGCTGACTCAGTAGAGACCAGTGAGGGACCACAAGGAAGGAGATTCAAAGAGCTGGCAAGAGCTGAGCCAGTGGGGCAGGAGCAGTTGCCACAGCAGCACCTGTAAGAGCAGGACCTGCAGGCAGCAGTGGGACCCTCAGCAGCGGGCGTGCAGCCGGCAGGAGAGGCTCCCCACTGGGTTTTGCTTGACAAATCTATCACTAACTATGGAATTGTGAAGTCATTGTACTCCAAAGAAGCTAACTGAGCAAAAGTATAGATAACATTTAAAACCTATACAAATCATGGACGACTTGACTCCAGATTGTTAGTGCTGATAGAAAGTCTAAAGACTTTCCAGGAGTAAGGTTTGCCAGGGGATCTACCTTAATGTAGGATATGGTGCCTATACCTGTTATTCATTGAAACCAGTAAGGCTTTTGTCTTTCTCAAATAGCTCTGGAGATTTAAGTGGGAATTAGGAGTTTGAATGTCTTTGAAGGTCTGGGCTTGTGTTAAGGTTCATAGTTCTTAAAAGTCCTAAATCTGTCTTCCCACTTTCTTATGTTTCTCCCATCTGCCATCTTTCTTTTCTCTTTTCTTAAAATTTAGCTCAAACAAGAACCAAGTAGTACCTAGGGAACAGTGAATGGCTCGAGGAGGCACATGTCCTTTTTTCCCCTATACAGGCTACTACAAATGGAACTGGATATATGAAACACTTTTGCAGCAACTCAATGCATAAATACATATGCGACCCTAGACTTATACACAATTAGCCCCTCAAACACAGGAGGAAAATGGCTGGATCAAAAGCATATTGAAAGAACACCTCATCTAACCAGGCAAGTTTGAAATAAATGAAAGCTTTCCTGTTATTTAAACCAACATAAACAACTTGAAGCATGATATAACTATGGAAAGAATGATAAGGAAGGTCAGAAAGAACTACAGTATACACTAGGATATCTGTGCCTCGTCCTGTTCCTAACAACTTCAGTGAAAGGAAGATGTGGCCCATGGGGGATAGCCTATTTATTTGTATCATGACTAGAGGAGAGTATCACAGGAATGAATGGTTTAAAGCTCTTTATAGTGAACAATGTAGATTCTAAGTGGGTGAATATAGCATCATGGAAGGGCCACATATGTTACTGCACTTTAGCATAGAGTAATACTCCTAACCTTGCAAGACACTGTTCTGGAGTAACATAGCATTT